ATATATATATATATATATATATATATATATATATATATATATATACATATATATGTGTATATATATATATATATTTTATAATTTTGTTCATAATAGTTGTACAACATATATATTACAAAAGAAAAATTTCATTTGGCTTCGTCGACGCGTCAGGAACAAAAATTTGCTTCTTCCTGTTTCAATACATACACTAATTTTTATTAGAGACCACGTAAGAATGAAAAAAATCAATTCTAAAAATATAAATTTTCTAAGACAATCTTGGTTAATACTTTTAATATGATTTGTTTACAAAAAAAAAGAATCATAATTTTGTGTTACCTTAGAAAATTATTTTAATTTAATTGCACAACTCGTTTTAAAAAGATAGTGCCATTTTTTTTTAATAGTGCCGTTATATTTTATTCATTAGAATTGCCATCAAACATCAAATTTAGTCTTCTTAGGTCAAAAAGATTCATATAATTCGATGAACTTGCATCGAAAAAATAAGATTATTATTCCTCTCTCTCTCTCTCTTTTTTTTTGACAATAATTTAATTTATCAAAAAATATTTTTGAGCGATATATGATTCATTAGAATCGAGAGATAAATGAAAAGAAAATTCACAAAAAGAAACCGAAGATATCGTCGATGAAACGCAGATGCAAAAAACGCGGGAAATTAAATTAGCGATTAATCGCACAATCTAAATAACTAAGTTGTTTTTTTAAACTGGCCTCGATCCAACGAGAATTCACACAAATCTGGAGGCAATAGTATTTGTAATAAATAGTATAAAGTAAATCAAATCAGATAAATTATTATTTAATCATTTATATTAATTTTTTCTATATAGTTATAGTTACAAATTAAGAAAATTACCACATCAAAAAATAATCACTATCATTAATAAGATCATAAAAAATTAATTTTTATTTTCTATAAAAAAAATAAGAAATTAATTTATTTCAAATACTATTTTAACCTCTATTTCACTCACTTCGTAAGAAATCCGTTTCGAGAATTCCATGGCGGAAAACATTATATCTACACATCATTCCATTGCATTTTAGTCTTTTATTTTACGCAGTTGCACGTGGCAGCGGATAAAAAGGAGTGTGGAAGAAGGTATACGATATAAATACAATGATAATCTCATGCGGATATTTCCGCCATCTCAAGAAAAATTCCCCATAATAATGGGGTTTCTTCTTTGCTAACGCTTATTTCTTTCTTGCACCTATACAAACACGCATATCTACTCCTAATGTAGTCGCTTCCTATTCGTATAGAATTATATAGCTATCGTTTAATATCGCTATCGTATATATTATGTACAAAGGAGAACTTTCACGTGCTTGCACGGAGCCTCAACATTGCTGACGTTTATCAAGACTCCTTTTCGAGAAAATGTAACTAGCATTTTCTGATGACAAGAGTCATCATATAATCATTGCACCAATTACAAAGGAATAACAATAAGCGATTTGTGTACTGGCAATCATATGTAAAATAACATTTTTTATTAAAAAAAAAAAAAAACAAAATTGTGAATTTTCATTTAAATTTGTTCTAAAACAAAAATTTCATTCGATTAATAAAAATAATTAAATCAACATATTATTTATGCACTGAAAAGTAATATAATTATAAGTAAAAATATAGAGAGCTAATTACTAGATTTTATAACTAGTAGTTATTCCTATGCAATTTAGTAACTACAAACGCCTCTCAGAGTGTCCAACTTCCACTTGCACTTAAATCATAAACGAAAAATGAAACAACAATATACATTTACACGAAAAAGTGGAATGGTTTAATATTTGCGTCATCACTTTCCCTCTCTATAATTGACCAATAAAAAAACATTCTGTTTCTTGTTTTATCGACATAATATGATGAAAAATGATTAAAAAGGAAAAGGAAAAGAAAAATATTAAATTTCTATATAATTTATACACGATGTAAAAAAAGAAAAAAACTAGCGAATAAACGAAGATATATATCTTCTAAATGAAGAATAAAAAAAACATTATCTGGCGGACGTTAAACGAGATTCTACAGCAATTGTCCATCAGAATTCGAGGTACTTATATATGAGAATATTTCTTTGTTTGTTTTGATACGTACGAGTAACGTCGTCTTTCTTCGTTAGACACGACCGATATTTTTTTTCGAATACCCGGTAGCTCGCAAAAAGATTAATAAATTAATAAATGGAGGACATTAGACAAAATCACAGTTGAAAGCACTGAGAGATTCCTTTCATAATCGGAAATATCTGGATGATACGATAATATCCCATGAATGGAAATCGAACTACCGGTATTTTTACTTATGCGATATTCTTTTTCCTCGTCGGTAATTAATTGTTTACATGCTAACTTACGATATTAAGAGTAATGCAAAATTACGTAACTAATCTAGAACCATCTCGACGATTCGAGAATTAATCTAATCTTCAATGATCTTTCATTAATCTTTTAATTTTTGGATATAAGTTATAAATTTTCTAAATTAATTTAAATAAGTGATGGACAAGTCACTAATTTTCTGAACTTCTTGATAATTCATTACATATTTGCGATTTTTTTCCCTTTACTCCTCGAAATAATTTGGAAATAAGATTAAATGATTCTCGATATTGTCGTAGATGGTTAAATAATGAAAATTCTACCGCAATTTGTACGAGAGACACGGTGTTGCATTGTGAGCGATTACAAACTCACGATTCGACCAATAAATATTTTTATCGATTTTTTTCTCAACTTATAAAATCGATATGAAAACATCATTTATCGATCGAATCGAGTCGAATGATAGATATGATCAATAGGAGGTCGCACCGTTATTCGTGGATTAATTAATAATACATATTTTTTTTTAAATTACTAGATCGATACCGCTGAGACATACACATTTGTTTATCCTAAATACATAGTAGTATATAAATATTTCTAGTAAATGGGCTGCTAAGCAAATGCTTTGTGAACAAATTATTCAATAAAAATCATACATAAATTATCATTATCTAAAATAATTATATCAAATTTAAATTATATATCATATATACATACAAATACATATATATGTATGCATACATATACAAATTCATAAAAATTAATTACTTATCAGTCCATTCATAATTTATCTCGGCATTATATATAATACAATACTT